GAAAGCTAAAAGATAGAAAATACAATCAAATACAGGTAAACGATAGAAAATACAATCAAATTAACTCTCCTATAGGTTGGGCATAGGTTAGAGGTAAAGAATGAACTGCAAGGAGAAGAGAGATCCAAAAGAGCTTGTGTGAAGGCAGAAATTACTGAAAAAAGAAAACATATTTATAGCCTTCTGGATTCCAATTGTTCAATAAACCAGCTGCACATGTACAGAGTAAAGAGAGAAGGGTGAGGAATAGAGAGATAAAAAGGGGAGGAAAGAGAAAAAGAAGAGAAAATAATATCAGAATTATGTATATACTCATTAGAACTACACTACTCAAAATTATGGTATATGGGCTAGTGGCATAAGCATAACCTGAGAACTTTTTAACAGTGTAGAATCTTGGGCTCTGCATATGCAGTTCCATATACCTAACTAGAGGTTCTTATAATTTAGTATATATTAGACTCACATGGAGAATTTGCAAAACCGATTCCTAGGTCTACCCCAGAACTTCTGAGTCAGCATGTCTGGGGTGGACCAAGAGATTCTAAATTTGTATAAATGCCTAGGTTATGCTGATGTTACTGATTCATGGACCACATTTTGAATTACTAACACAGGGAGAAGCTAAAAACTGGTACTTATCTGCTTGTTTGATTTCCCCAATAATTAAAAATTATCTGCACAAGCGGAAGGTGGAGTAGGATTGCCCTTTATTTCCTTCCAACAATCAAGTTCCCCTTTGCATGCAATAAAGAGCTGCTTTTCTTCCTCCCTTATTTTATAGAATTGTTAAAGTGCTCAGGATTGGATATGTAGCTAGATGTAAAAATGAACAAAGTATAGACAAAAACAAACATAATAAAGGGCAGATCCCTTCTTAATTTCTTTTATTATTCTATTCTCTGACTAGACATTCATGCATGTAATGCATTTTCCTCAGCACTTCTCATAAGAATAAGGCACTGAGTGTATTCTCTTAACACCTCTGTTTTCTCCTTCAGGGGATCTAAAGAAAAAAATGTAGCTGAGAAATATCTAATAGAACAGAAAAACCTTACATAAAACCTGCTACATAACTTGCCAAAGTCTCAATTCCATTTGTTTTATGAAAATGGGAAACTTGTATTTTTTTTATCAGGCTAGAAAATGAAAACCCATGGCAAAGCATTGTATTGCACCTCTGTTATGAAAATCTACCATTCACAAAGAAAGCAACTGCCATTTCCTTTTTGTGAGGAAATGATCAAAGACCCTTTGATAAGAAGCTGGGTGAAGTATCTTAGAGAAAAGATAGGAGAAAATTTTGCACAGCCTATCCTCATCCCAGCAGTCTTATCTGAGAGTCTCCCAGGGGATGGCTAAAGCCTTCTTCTCTGCCCTCATCCGGAGAGCTGCAGGAGACACTCAGTTGGCAGCCACTGTCAGACCTATCGCAGCAGCTTCTTCTTCCCCATGACCATTCCCATTAACAATAGGAGAGGGTTTCATCCCTATGCAGTTTGAACTCTCTGAAATAGAGGTCACAAACATCCTAATCAACTGCATAAACCAATAATTAGATGACAATTCTGAATAGCACATATTTACTGAATATCAGATGGAAATCAGAACAAAACTAAGGGGAAATGATGATTCTCTCAACATTTATTTTTTCACGTGCTGCTAAATCACACCTGAGTATTTGACATAGGAGAATTCTTTTTTTTTTATTTAAGTACAAATTAAGACCTTATTTATCTTAGGGTTAATATGTGTTTTCCCCATGAGGTTGTTCTTGTGCTTAGGTCCAGTAAGTATTGCATAAGTGCGTGCTCAGTCAACTTGATAACTTTCCTTCTTGGCCTCCTTCACTTACAAAAATCATTTGTCCCTAAATAGTATGTCCAAGCAGGTTTCTAATCATAGCAGTTTCTATCCCATTTAACTCACAAAATAAAGGCTAAGCTAAAACCCAAGGTTTAGAACTCTTAGGTGAGCTTCAGTAGATTCTCAATAAAGAGTGGTTGAAAAAGTAAAATATCCATGAGGAAATCTTACAGATATTTTTACAGCACAATGCGGTAGTGTCCTTCTTGCCTCACTAAGCCAAGCTTCTATGCTATAAAAGTCTTCAGATGTGTATCTCTAAAAATACATTTATATCTTTAATATGTTTACATTTCTCTGCTTCCTTTTATTTTATCTATAAGTTTACTTAAAAGTGCTATGAATGATAAAGCAACTTTATTTTCTTTTAGATATATATTGCTATTTTGCACCCAGAAACTTGATGTTTTGAAAATGAGACATACATATTGACTTGACTCTTCTTTGATGTCATAACAAATAAAGAAAGCAGACTTTTGAAACATGCTAGGGGTTTTGGAGGGGTTGGGGACTGGGGAACCACAGCTTAATTCTCCCACAGCTGTCACTTTAGCCAAGGTTACTATGATCTTCTGGTTAGTCTACTAACCAAATTGGGTAGCCAGATGCTAACATTTGGGACAGCCTTAGCAGCTAGAATTTGAGGAAAGACATTCTGGGAAAAGAGAAATTCTTAAATTCTGAGCATAAAAATCTCATATAAGTTTGTGGTTGACACCTGAATTGCTTACACACAAGATGAGATCCCATACAGTCCAGGAGAAACAATAGTTCTAAAGGAAGAAAGATCTGACCAGAGGTTTCAATTGCTACTGGCTCGTGGGGAGAGAGAGTTTTATGTTCACTTCATGTCAAGCTAGGGCCTTTGCAATCATCTTGAACTTTCCCATAAGGACCATGTCTTATAATTAAAACCCATATCCTAGAACAAAGAAATTCTTTCTGGGATTAAAAGAAAATAAGAAAGAAAACAAAATACATAGATTGGCTTATATATAGTATAACTTTATATATAGTCATTTCAATAAAATCAAAATGACTTACTAGTAAGAGACTGTTAAAACATAATTCAATACAATTTAGAGGGAAACAAAAAATTCAGTCTGTTCAACACATCACTTAAAATATCCAATACAAAATAAATAGCAACTAGACATAAATATACACAGGAAACTGTAATGCATAGTGTAGAGGAAAACAGGCAACAGATGCAGAAAATGACCCAGGTTTTGGAATTAGCAGAGGAGACTTTAACATAATTATATTAATTCTGTTTCTGACAATGATGAAGCAACTGGAGCTGTCTTGCCCAACTAATGTGACCATCTAAAATAACAAGATAAAGTATTTATTTAAATAAGTTTTTGAAAAAATAATAAAGGAGAATTTCCCCAATCTGGAAAAAGAAATAGACTTCCAGGAAATCCAGGAAGCTCAGAGAGTCCCAAAGAAGTTGGACCCAAGAAGAAACACACCAAGGCACATCATAATTATATTAGCCAAGATTAAAATGAAGGAGAGAATCCTAGAAGCAGAAAGAGATAAGGGGACAGTCACCTACAAAGGAGTTCCCATCAGACTGTCAGTGGATTTCTCAAAAGAGACCTTACAGGCAAGAAGGGGCTAGAAAGAGATATTCCAAGTCATGAAATCCAAAGACCTACAATCAAGATTACTCTATCCAGCAAAACTTTCATTTAGAATGGAAGGACAGATAAAGTGCTTCTCAGATAAGATCACATTCAAGGAGTTCATCATCACGAAGCCCTTATTATATGAAATGTTAAGGGGACTTACCTAAGAAAATGAAGATAAAAAAGATGAACAGTGAAAGGACAGCAAACTCACAGTTATTAACAACCACACCTAAAACAAAAGCAAACTAAGAGGACAGCTAAATCAGGAGCAAAACCATAGAAATGGAGATCACATGGAGGGTTAGCAACAGGGGAGTGGGACAAGGAGAAGGGGGGAGAAGGTACAGAAAATAAGTAGCATAGATGGCAGGTAGAAAATAAAGAGGGGAGGGCAAGAATAGTATGGGAAATATAGAATCTAAAGAACTTGAGACACGTGGTCATAAACTAAAGGGGGGAATGGTGAGAGAGGGGGTGTGCAGAGTGGAGGGGAATGAAGGGGGGAAATAGAACAACTGTAATGGCATAATTAATAAAATATATTTAAAAAATAAAATAAGACAAAATATTTAGGCAAGTATTTTAAAAATATTAGAAAACAGTCATTGCAAAACTGTAAGGCTTGTGAGAAGGAAAAAAGGAGGTAAGATCTACAATCATCCTAGCTTTCTATCTGAAAACATATTTCAGGGTAACACAAATATAGTAGGAAAATTTTACCAAGTTTAAGTGAGAGATCAGAGTTCAGGGAGGATTAGCTGGTTGAATTTCAGAGTAATTAAAGGTGCTAAGTGGAGAAAAGGTCTTGGAAAACTAGTCAAGATTCCCTTTGAGTTGATCATTAAATTATGTGGCATGCATATGTTTGATGAAACTCTGTAAGGCCAAGTAAAGAATGACAGAAAAGGAATCAGCTAAACCATTTCCACAGGTCTGCAAAAAACTGAGTTATAACCAGAGAGGACATTCCTGATGAAAGTACAAAGGACTCTCAGTAAAAACCCCAGAATAATCATGCCCTGGGAGTAGTGGTAAACTAGCCCTGTACTGAAAAATTTCCTAGGCCCACCATAACTAAATTTAAAAAAAAATAGAACTTTAAAGAATCAGGCTGAATGATATATAACTTAACTACCCATCAGAACAAATGCCAGTATTTTTTAAAGAAGATAACAAAATCCATAAATCAATAATGTCATGTTTATAATATGTAATGTTAAATCAAAAATTCCTAGCAATGATGAGAAAAGTGTAAGTCAAAACCAGAGAAAAAGTTGGTCAACAGACAGAAATAGATGCAGATATGACAGAGACATAAAGTTGACATTCTTAAAAGACCTACTAAAAATATGATCAAGAACTAAATGATGGGGAGAGAAGTGGAAGCAAAAACAAACATAAAAGCATAATACAAAATTTTATCATGTAAAATAAAAAAAATAATTAAATGGGTTAATAGAGTCTTGAAAAAACTATCACAGTTAAAAACACATTATAAAAACTATACTTTCAGGGATCATTTCTGTAGTTTGTTACTAGAGAAGTTTCTCTGAAAGCGTAGGACACAGAAACTGCGAGGAAAGGATGGAGTATTCTCTCCGGAGTGTGAACACTTTTGGTGTTGTTTTGGTAATTTCCATTTGCTGTTGATAATTGTTTTTCTCTCTCCTTGTGGAGAATAAGAGGGAGAGAACACTGTCTGAGTGTTTTTTTAAAGACACACTAATAGAAGTTATAAAAACTGAAATATAAGGACAAATACCAACACAAAGTGGACAGAGCCATAATGACCCATGTAGTAATAGAAAGATGTCCAACACATTTATAATCAAAATCCTGAAAAGAGAGGAACAAGAATAAAGATCTAATACTAAAAATTTTCCAAAATTGATAGAAAGTATAGCCTATTCATTCAAAACTATCAGTGAACTCTAAGCAGAAGAAACACCCACACATACAAAAATAACACATAAAGTCATGTCATAATCAAATTTCTGAAAGCCGGTAATAAAGAGAAAGTTTTAAAAGCATCTTGCAGCACATTACACAGAAAACTGTCAAGTGGGAATACTAGAGTCAACAGAGAAAAGAAAAGAAGAACATTAAAATTTAAAAAAATAAGGTTTTGTTTAGGAAAACAAAGCTGAGAGAATTTATCCAAATGGGCTGAATCAAAAGATTAAAGAACATTCTAAGATTTAAGAAAATATATGCCAAATGAAATTTTGAATTTACACAGACACTCTACATTCTTTGATTGTTTTCTCCCTCCATCTCCAACCTCTTTTTTCATCGTCATTTCTTTTTTCTCTGATTTTGACTCTCTGGCTCTCCTGTTGAAAGGAATTACTTGTTTTTACTTCAAGCCTACCAGGAAGATTCAGGATAATCTTTCCACCTCAACAACTGTAACCTCATTATGTCTTCAAAATACTGGTTGTCCTGTTAGGCAACATCTTTACAAGTCTGGGGATTATTACATAGACATCATTGAAAGGCCATCTTTCCATCTATAATAGAGTATAAAATACAAATGTATCTTAGTCTCTCATTAAGGTAAACTATTATCAATACTATAGTTCAGTATTCCAAATCCTGAATATTTCCTCAAAATAAATTAAAAATATATATTTTATAAAGAGTTTTGCTTAAAAATATGAATAAAATGTTTATTTATGATAGGCCCACACTGGAAAGAGCACAAATGTTCATTAATAATAGGTGAGTACAAAAGTATATTGTCTTAAATTTGTAATACAACACAATACTCATAAATAAAGTAGAATGAACTATTAATATATAAACAACATGGATAAGTCTTCGTGTTGTAGCCTTTCAAGGCCAGGCAGTTTCACTCGGGATTCAAGCAGTCAGAAGAATATACACAGAGCCATAGGAATGCCTGACATGCCTTTATTTAAGGTTGGGGCAATCAACCCATGTCATGCTGCAGGAATCCCCGACTCCCTTACATACCAAATGCACACGAAGCCAGCTGGTTTCCAGGATATTATATAACAAAGCATGATTTTGTGCATGTGGACCCACTCAAAGCTATGGTAATACAATTTATCAGATCCAGGCTGTAAGAATCCTGCTTATCTTACTTGTCCAGACATCTAAGTGAGGGAGCCTGACTGACTCCATTTACCCAACAATCCACCCCTTCAGGGTTCTTTGCCATACAATCTAGTTGAGGGTGTCATAATTAAAAAAGGGAATGAAGAAGGTGGGATGGAGTAAGAAAGGAAGTGTACAGTATTAGGTTTAAACAGAAATTAAAAAATAAAATAAACTGAGAGAAAGAAAAAGAAATAATAAAAAATAAGAACCAAATTGGAGAGAAAGCCCCTCCACAGCACTATCAACAACAAATTAGTTAAATTAACATAGGTGGGATGGAAATAAGAGGGAAAAAGAAAGAAATAAACACTTGAGAAATATCCAGAGGAAAGGAAGTGATTTTGAGGTGATGGAGGGAAAGGAAGTTAAGAGTTCAGAATGAGAATAAGGCTAAGACAGAGAACAGTTAAAATCTGAGGTGAAAAGAAAAAGGAAAAAAAAAGAAGAAAAAGAGCAGGATGAAAGAGAGGAGGAAAGAAAGAAACAGGCCAAGATAGGCCAGAATTAAAATTTGAGATGTAAAAAAGAGTAGAAGAGGGCAACAGTAAAATTTGAGATTTGAAATACAAAATTAGTGAAAATCTAGAGATAAAATTGAAAAAATGCAACAACAACTACCCTGTCCACAACTGATGAGCTAAGATTGCTAAAGGTGGAGACAGGACGCAGGTATTTAAAGAGTGGGAAAAAGAATGACCACTGACAAGAACATTGGTTTGGAGAGGCTAGATGGGGGAGAAATAGTAAGAATGAGGAATGGAAACAAGTTGTAGCAAGAGAGAAGACAAACTTTAAAATGGAAATAATAAGAAGGAAAGAAAAGGTAAAATGGGGTAAGAGAAGGGAGGGGCAAAATATGTGAATTGAAATAAACTGTAGTATAAAAAAAATCTAGTGACTTAATATGCACCAACTTGAAGGATAACAAATGAATGTTAAGCTATGCAGGTAAGAAAATTATCACAAATCATGGAGAAGACCACAGTGGATTTCATCTCAGTAGCATCTAGTACTTAACACTGTTTTTTCTTTCTGGGTACCACCTCTGGTGATGTCCGATGGTGCCCCAGTCTGACCTCAGACAGCCTATTGGAGACTATCAGGGATCTACTGTCTGTGGCTGACTCCTTCAGTTGTTAATCTAGTCACTCTGCAATCAGCAGTCAGGCTTAAGCACCCAAGGGTGGGGCAGGGTCCTTCCTGGGTTTGGGGCTATTGTTTCCCTTCAGGCTGCTGCTGCTCAGAGAGGGGAGTGGACTGCCTAAGCACAATGGCTGTAGCAATATGGTGGATGACTCAGCATGGCAATCCTGGCAGTTACTCTTTCAGTTCTCTCCCCAAAGCATCTGTCCTCAGTCTCTCCTCAAGCATCTCTAGTCCCTTCTGCCCCGACCCCCTTCGCCAGAGCCCAGGGTAAGTGGCTGCAAGTGAAAATGTATGTGTTGGGCCTTTAAACAGCTGTTTGCATCCCCAGCCACCAAACTCTGGCAGAGAGCCACCCTGCTCCTTTTTGCAGCTGGATATTATCTGGGTACTTTTGGGGCTCTGGTGCTCTAGGCTGGGAATCCCAGCTTAGGGTTTAGACCCCCCAGTTCTAAGGGGGATCCAACCACCTGATTAAACATCCCTCCATCATATCAGCTGCTGTCTGTGGGCACCCAGCCATCCCTCTCATGTCTCCACTGCACTCCCTACCAGTCATGTTGTGCTGACGCAGAGTCTTCTCTCTGTCCCTGCTTGTAAGACTTCTCTCTTGCTATTGTTCAGTTGTTTGTCCCAGGTGATTTCTGCACAATTTAGTTGTGATTCCAGATCAGTCCTGGGAGGAAGTTAGTGTGACTGCCACTCACTCCTCTGCCACCTTGGATCTCTCTTACTGGGAAGCTCTTAATAAATGCTTTTAGTATATAAAATAAACCCTTTTCATAATAATCATTAATTCTTGCAGCATATTATTCTGGCAGTATCATTTTTTTCTTATATATAGAACTTCCCAGTGAAAGCATATGGGCCGGGTACTTTCTTTTTTGAAGGAATTAGCCCACTTCATCTTAATGAAATTCATGGGCATGGACTTTTAAATAATATTCCTTTATTTTTCTTTGAATGTCCATATAATTAATAGTAATTGTCCTTCTTTCTTTTCTGATAGTACTAACTTAACATCTTCTCTCCTAGGTCACCCTGGCTAGAGGTTTATCAATTTTACTGACTTTTTTTGTAGAACAGTCTATTGTTTTGTTGATTTTCTCTATTAATTTCCTGTTATAAGTTTCATTGATTTCTGCTCCATTTTTTACCATTCCTTATCTTCTGTTTGTTTTGTGTTTATTCTGTACTTCTTTCTCTAATGCTTTTGGGTGGAAGCTTAAAATAAATGATTAATTTTACATCTTTTTTGTTTGCTAACATGTACAGTCAGGGCATTAAATTTCTTCTAAGCACTACTGTGGTTGGGACATATAAATTTTGATAGTTTTCATCAAAAATATTTTAATATATTTTTTCTTTTGAGCCATATGTCATTTTATAATGGGTTGTTCAATCTTTAAATATTTTGGAATTTTACAGCTATCTTGTTAAATTTCTAGTTTAATTCTATTGGGGCCCGAGAACATAATTTATGTGATTTCTATAATTTTAAACTTGTTTAGGTCTGCTTTATGACCCAGAATGTGGTCTATTTTGGTGAATACTCCATGTAATCTTGAGAAGAATGTATATTCTGCAGTTGTTGGGTGAAGTACTCTATAAATGCCAGTTAAAACTAGTTGACTGACAATCACATCACAGAAGAGGGATATTTGCAAATGAAAAGGCAAAAGTGGTTGGACAGGTTACACTGATCCTTGGAAGGTTTAGTGTGGATTTTAGGATGGTACTTTGCAGTAAATATTTCCCACAAATCTGGGTGAGGGAGTTTTTAGCAAAAAGCAAGACTCAAAGAGGCCTGGGTACATTGCAGGCCTGATTCCCCATGGGAGAACCTATCCATGGGTGTGGGTCCTATGCATCTCTGAGTGGGAGCTGGGCCCATGCCATGCAGAACGGTCTCCTACAGTTGGGGATGAGGGGACTATGGCAGTGGGAAGAGAGGTGAAGCCCTGCTGTAAGGTATTGGGGCCTGGAGGCTGAGGGAGGTCGGAGACCCTGCTGGAGCAAAGGCCGTATTCACTGTGGTCCTGGGCACTCAGAGGGCAGTTGCTAAGCTCTGCAGCTGAGCCAGGTATCAGCATCGTTGGAACAGGGCCATGTTTCTGCAGCCTCCCTGGGGCCAGCGGTAGACCTCTGGGGTTGTGGGAGAATGTTGCATCTGGAGGTGAAGGCTATCTTACGGGGCTCCTCTGAGAACTTGGGGGACCCCTCAACCATCCTTCATGGCTGTCATGACAGGACAACCATCCCAGGACAGCCATGGCTACTCCCATTTTCCCATCTCTGACATGAGCAAGGAGAGCCCTGACTGGCAGAAACTTGAGGAACCCAAGGTCCAACACTTCTCTTGGCCTGGCTGACCCAAGCAGCTTGAAAGTAGATGGCAAGAAATTGGGAGTTTTCCCCCGTGGCTCTAGGAAGGTGAGTCT